CTATCTATCTATCTATCTATCTATCTATCTATCTATCTATCTATCTAGATCAATCGAAAAAAAATTATGTACATAAGGGTGTGTGTTTGTGTACAATAACTTTTTATTTGTAAAATCAATACCATTATGCATCCAAAAACTCATGTGATTCATATTAGTTTATTATTCTATTTAACTAAGACTAACTATAACTTTCATTTGCATTTTTAAAATAGAATGAACTAGGTTTTCCTACAGGTTTCTGCTCTTTAAGTCAGTAAACTTGTTAACCTGCTGGTTTCACTTTAAAGCTCTCCACTAAAAGTTTTTTTTCCCAGCTTGTGAACGGACTAGAAACATGAAACGAAAACTGCTTGAGAAGTTTAACCCTCTGCCCTCGTGGCAAATAACTGGCTTTGATAGAATAGCTTGTTGAATTGCAAACAAATAAAGAGGGAACAACAACATCCAGACTCAATGATGGAACTGTAGCAGAGTCTCTCCAATAATAACATGCCTTGAAACTAAATCGTTAATATTGTCAAGTTAAAGGGAAATGATCTACATTCAAGACTAAATAAGTCTGAATCATTTTGGTTCACAAGCCCATTTGTTATACCTCTAATATCTGGTCTCCAGCCTGCAGTCTTCCGTCTCTCTGAGCTGCTCCTCCATCATTCACTTCATGGATTATTACTGCCCCCTGGTGTAAGACAGAAAAAAAAGTTACTTGTCATTTCCGTAGAAGGAAAATAAACAGATTCACCACACTGATCACAGTGTGTGGAAATGAAACAAAACAAAAGAAGTGTTAAATGAACTCTCGGGTATGACACGCGTATTCTCACCAGTAGGGTGTCACATCCACCAACAATGCTGAGGCCCAGGCCCAAGTTTCCTTTACAAAACTCCACAGTGGTTTCTCTTCCAGCAGCCACTGGACTGCTCAGGGGGTCAGAAGTCACAGGACTGGCGCCCAGCCAATGAGAGCGCTCGGCCGAAGAGGTCTGCGCGGCGCTGAGAGACGAGGAGGAGGAGGAGGGCGACGGCACGGGAGGCGGGAGTGAGGGAACAGCGGGAGCGGGAAGAGAGCACGGATGGGGAAGCGGGGAAGGGAGAGGCAGAGGAGAAGGGAGGGAGAGAGTCCTGGAACGGCTGACGGAGAGCTTGACAGTGACCCGGTGCTTGAGAATCAAACTGGACACCTGAATACAAAGAGGCCAGGCGAGTCATAAATCATTAAGTCAGTTCGACCTTGGAGAGCAGATAGTACAGTGTTTGAGAGTGTGTGTGTGTGTGTGTGTGTGTGTGTGTGTGTGTGTGCGCGTTTGAACCTTTTCCACCGACAGTCCAGCCACAGGTTCATCGCCCACTGCTACAATTCTGTCTCCAACCTTTACCCTGCCGTCCTGCGTACAGGGATATGAATAAAAATGTGATATAGGCAAACTGGATGAAAGACAGATGGAGGGGAAGTTGGATAAAAAAAGAAAACTTCAAATACACCCTCTGGACAAATATCTGCATAAGTGCTGCCTCGGGGGCATACGCCAGAGCTCATTAGCACACGGTGACAATGGTAACCGCCATTTTGGTGTTAATTCAGTTCAAACACTTACAGAGATATCAGGACACTGCTGCCATTGCAATGCAGTTCACGGCTATGTATATATTGTATGTATCAGCTACTTTTGCTTTGGTTGAAGAGCTTTCAATGGTAAAAAAAGAAAACACATAAATGGGCTTTACAAAAATTTGGGGGCGGTCATAGACCAAGCTGTACTAATGTGCCCCTCATGTACAGGAAAGATCCCTGTAAGTTCAAATAATTCCAGAGGTGAAAAGGCAGTCTTGAATAATGGAACTCAGGTTCATTTGAATATTTTTGCATACAGTTTCAACTGAGAGTTTACATACACCCGTCAGGGCCATGCACGTCATGGAAATGTTTTGCTTTGTGTGATTTTTTTTAAAGAGGGTGAGGCAGAATCATTCTACAATACATGTAATGGGCTGTTGTTTTAGATTTGTGATTGCCTTTCATCTAGACTTTGTGCCTTGCTTTGTTGGTTTTCCTTTGGATGCGTCCTGTACCTCAGTATAATTTCTGTTGATTACAGAGAGCATTTTTAATCACTGTGCTGTTTAATATGAATCATTTCTAGCCTTTGGTTTCAACTTCATTCTAAAACCCAAAGTCAGAGTGTTGTGTGAACTTTAATAAGAAGTGAATGGAATAGTTTTTAGACTGATTATATAGTTTATAAACTGATATCTTGTTTGAAAGGAATCATTGAATTTCTTCACTAATTTAAAACTACAGTTTTACAGCAATGTATCTTAAAAAACACTGCACGAGTGGTTGTCAGAAGCATGTAGTAATTATTCAGGTCAATTGCCGTGAAACTGCCAGTGAAACTGCTTTTTGCACAAAGTATCTCAGACTTAATCAGAATAACCCCAAACTGTCAGCCAGACAGCTGAAAACACAATGTTCTGTTCCATGAGAACAGTAACTCAAAACTCACATCAAAATTAGTTTTGGAATCGATAAAACGCCGTTAAATGAAACTTTCAGAATGGACTGCCCATAATCCTGACCTCAACCCGTGTTAAAATTCATGGACGGTGCTAAAAAGTCAGGATCGTGCCAAAAGAGCAGCAATTCTGCCAAGAAGAGTTGATGTCCTCCAAGAGCTGTGCATCTTGCCAAGGAGGATTTAATCACATTTTAGGAGGGCTGTATGTATAATCATGGCCGTATAAATGCAAGTTTGAACGGGAGTTAATAAAAAAACTAAACAATCTCATTCGAAACCGCACAATGAAACAACTAAATATCGTCACGGTATGCATGTCAGACATGATTGCCGCTAAACTTCTGACTGGATCTCTGTTATTATAGCTGAAGCTAATATAAAGAGTGAGCTGTAAGGCTGTTGGGACTCTATGATGAAAAATCTATGTTGACCACTTTAAGTCACTGTTGAAGGCGATTAAGATCAGCTCCGATGGTGCCCTACCTTACTGGCAGTGCCGTGCGGGATCAATGACCGGACCACCATTCCTTCTTTGTCCTCAACAAGGCAAATGCCCAGGCCTGCATGGTCCTGGAAGAAAGACGAAATAACCGCTGAAGACAGCCAACTATCCATCGGATTTCTTTCTGTTTTCGAGCTTTCCTTTTACTCACACATGTGGAGCCTTCAGGGACGTCACACTGTGGACCTCGAGGGCCCGCTTTCCTGCTGGTTTTACAGGTTTGCCTGTTTCAACACACCTGATTGACATCACCGCGCCATTACCAGGCCTGTGCAAAGGCTAGCCATGTCTGGAGGAGATCCAATTTCATCGGAATCAGGTGTGTAGCAGCAGGGGAACGTCTGCGACCAGCAGGACAGCGGCCCTCGAGGACTGGAGTTTGACACCCCCTGAGCTAAAGGTCTGACAAAGGCTAAAGGGGCAACATGTCAAAAACAGACTCTGCCACAGCAGCTATGATGTTGTACCTGATTAAGGATGATGTGCTCTATGTCTCTGGGTAATCCTCCATCCTCGGCAGGGTCGGGCTGCTGGTCCACTGTGTCCTCGCGTTGCTTTTTTATTCCCCTATCCACTTGATCTGCCTTATTTCTAATGAAAAAAACACACATAGAAACCTTCACTTTTTCTGCAAGGGTGTGCAGCTGCCACATGACAACAAACAGTACCTGATTAGGACAATCTTGACTTTAGATGGGGTGTTGTTGATAATGGTGGAGGCATTTCCGGGGCTCCGGCCGTATAAAATCTGACCGTTGATCTGAAAGAGGCACAGTGTCGAGTAGCTTGTCCTCAAATGGAAGAGATTGTATTCTGGCTTTCCTCTCCCGATTCGCTCTCCTTCTTACCTCCAACAGCTCATCCCCAACCTGTATCCTCCCATCCACACCCGCGGGCCCTTTGGGGTCAATGCCCGCGATGCAGACGCTCATACGGGCCCTGGAGGCGTCATCGCTGTGCGCGAGGCTGATCCCCAGACCGGGAGTGGCGGGGTCCTTCTCCAGCTCAATCATGTGGAGCTTTCCTGAAAGACTGCCGTAGCGCTGAAGCATCTTTTCTGGAGATAAAGAAAATTGAGGCAGTTCGAATTTATTGGCTGATACATGGAAGGCGAATAGAGATGTTTCACATCTC